AGATGAGTGGATGAAAAAGCTGTGGTACGTTTGCATAATGGAATACTACTCTGTAACAGAAAAGAATGAAATCTTACCATTTGTCACAGCATGGATCTACCTAGAGCAGTGATGGCGAACCTTTTGAGCTCAGCATGTCAGCATTTTGAAAAACCCTAACTTAACTCTGGTGCCGTGTCACATATAGAAATTTTTTGATATTTGCAACCATAGTAAAACAAAGACTTATATTTTTGATATTTATTTTATATATTTAAATGCCATTTAACAAAGAAAAATCAACCAAGAAAATGAGTTCGCGTGTCACCTCTGACACGCGTGTCATAGGTTCGCCATCACTGACCTAGAGGGTATGATGCTAAGTGAAATAAATCAGACAGAGAAAGACAAATACCATATGATTTCACTGTATGTGGAATCTAAAGAACAAAATAAACAAACAAAACTGAAACAGTCCCATAGATACAGAGATAAGACTGATGATTGCCAGAGAGGAGCAGGATAGTGGCGGCTGGGTAAAACTGGTGAAGGGATGAAGAAGCACCAATTGGTAGTTACAAAATAGTCATGGGGATGTAAAGTACAGCACAGGGAATATAGTCAATAATATTGTAATAATTATGTATGGAGCCAGGAGGGTACTGGAAATATCAGGGGATCACTATGTAAAGTATATGATTGACCACTATGTGGTACACCTGAAACTACAGCAAAATAATATTAAATGTAAACTGTAATTCAAAAATTACTATTAAAAAAAGTATTGGCAGAATATGAGATGGGATACTTGGTGATTTTTTTCCTAAGTAAGTGAATGGTAGGAGCCATATGGCACAAAAGGAAGATAAACATCTTTAAGCACTTTTTAATTATGAACATGTTAACCATAAATACAGACATACAGGTGGTAAGAAAAGTATAAATTCCCATGTACCCATCACCCAGCTTCAGCAGTTAGCAACTCGGCCCATGTCATCTGTCTGCCCCTCCTACTTCCTTCCTCGCCACTGGATTGTTTTGTAACAAATCCCAGACGTCATATCTTTTAATCTGCAAATATGTCAATGTTATCTCTAAAACATAAGGGCTCTTTAAAATAACAAGACCACAATAGTATTATTACATTATTGGTGATTTTAAGTTTTCACCACTAGAGGTT